ATGGCTTAACCGCATAGCATGGCTGTTCTTTGATTTTCTGGTGGTTCGACCCTTGCAGGTGGACAGCCGGGAGCACAGAAGCAAGCTGCAACAGTGACAGTGACATGTTCGTCCTTTGATGCTTTCAACTTATGTTGTTTTTGTTTTTCCTGGCTTCGTGTTGTGGTTAAGGCACGAAGCTTCTGCTCGTCCTGTCTACAGAGGTGAAAGAGTCGACAGAGGTGAAGGGTCTGCCCTTTCGATTTCTTTCCTCAAAATCTAGGAACCAAATCATTAGTGCGAGCGCTTCCTTGAAAAAGCGTGAACTATCCTGCGTCCAGTTACTAGAAGCTTGAGTACCTAGGAGCTTACTCCCTTAGGGAGGGGGGGAAGCAGGCCGAAAACAAGTTTTTATTCTGTTTCCTTTTACTTTTGAGAGGGTTTTCTTTGGTCTTGAGCTGTCTCCGGTTGTGCTGGGTTGCTGGGGCCGCCTCTTTGCATTGTGTTTGGTCTCTAGTTGTCTTCGGCCCTCGATTGTCTCTAGTTGTTTGTTTTCAGTCGATTACTTTTAAACCTTCATTTCTTGGTCACGGAGAGAGTGTTGGGGGACAGGCCGTGAGAAGCTCGTAGCCTAGTGGGTGAGCTCAAGGAAAAGCTATCGTAGCTAGAAAAGCTACAAGGTGATGTGGGTGCCGCGAAGACTTAGGGAAGCTCCCTGAAGCCGGGGAGAGTTTCTGTGAAGAACCCTTCGCATGATTGGTTTGGTGCTTTGATTCTTAGGGAAGCTTAAGTATCAGTAGACATTTCCGATGTTTTCCTCTTCTCAGCCTTTTCTGCATTCATTGTGTTTTGGATGTCACACAGTCTTTTGTTGGCCTTGTCCCTGAGAGGTTCAGACCGTGGCCCTCCACGGGAAAGAGAATACGACAATAAATATCAACCTGAGGGCTACAGACGGGAACATGAAGCGATTCGACATCGAGAAAGAGATCGGGACTACCCTCGGCCAGAAAGGGGCCACGGTGGCTACGATGACCGCAGACCTGATGTTGCGACTGGCCGATATGAAAGAGGAGGTCGAAACCCAGATGTGTACCGACCGCATGGACTTCCTGGCAAGTTGCCTTATATCAATCTGCAATCCTTGTATATTGAGTACGAAGATCTGAAATCTTGAGAAATAGATAGATAGATAGAGAGAGAGAGAGAGAGAGAGAGGGGGGGGGAAGGAGGGGAAAGAGAATATGAACACTGCTCTCAGTGCCAGTGCGATCTTCTAGGTCGTAGTCCCGCAAATTTGGAGGGGGCCCACAATTTGCCAGGAGACGACAGAGCTGCGAGAGACGACAGACGAGGCTGAATTTCCGCTGGCTGTGTTGGTTGATGTTGGTTGCCACCACCTTTCGTGGACAGTTCAGTTCAGAAGTCACGTGCCTATAAAATCTTGCATGTTGCTTTGCATGTGTGACAAACATATTACGGGCCGGCAGCTCGTCCTCCCATCAACTTCAGGCGGCCAAGTTGGAACAAAAGTGTACGTGGGAAATTTGCCAACAGACATCACCAAGGAGGTGCCTTTTGTTTCTTCTTTCCAATTGTTTGAGCCGTATCATTCCGTTTCAAGTCATTTGTGTTTGAGGCTCTGACTCACGTCTTCAGAACTTATGGGTGAGAGTCTGAGCAATAGCCAGATTATTTCTTTCATCCTTTTGCTACTGAGGTCCGTAGAAGACGTCCATATTATGGTCGGAAGGCTGAAATGCTTATTTTGAGACCTGTCCAGCGGGATCCTTCAGTCGCATTGACAGGTCGAAAAGTGGGCAGGCGTCAGCGTTCATCAAGTACTTCGGATCCAGAGAGGCATTTTGCCGTGTTTCTACAGTAGGTTGGACGTGGGTTTCAGTGACGTACAATGTGTGAGGCCAGCGATGCGATAAATGCTATGGCTGCAGGGTGCCATGGCGTCAGACCGTTTCAATTCATTGCAATGGGACCCAACACGCTTAATGGGTTATCGGGGGCGTTGCATCAACTGGTGAATATTAGCTGCTCTGGTCCCAACCCAGGTACGAAATTCGGCCGGGACAAGGCAACATTGTGGTCCGCCTTGCAGATGGCGAGGCACTAGAGATTTGGATGGCACTGACATACCGTATGGACATGGTTTCTTTGGATAGAAGCGCTGAGGGCCCGAAGGGCGGCGGTCGATCAAGGCCATACTAGGCTGGAGCTGCTGGATCTTGCTATTGAACGATTTCAACTCAAGTCTGACTCGTGAGGTTGGCCTCTTGCTTTGCGTGATGCCAAAGTGAGTGGTGACTGGCTCGACCTATGACTAGTGTAAATACAATAACGTCCATGAAGCGATGGAGTGTGTGTGGTGAACACGTTGACAAGATGCCTGAGGATTGGTGGACTTGCCTAGATCACGGTTCCACATTGTATTTGTTATATAAATAATGGTTGTGATATTTTAAATGCTGTTGCTTAGAAGTATTGAACATTCAGTCTGGCCTAGTGCAAGGCTGATAGATCGTCATCGCGCGGAAATGTAGAGCACGGATTTGTATTGCAGACAGCTTTACAGTTGCTGAATCAAGTCTGGAGTCTTGCTTTTGGCCTCCGTAGAACTGCAGATTCCCTGGACTGATTGCCTTCACGGTCACAAGTTACAAGTTGCAAGCCTTTGCCACACTTTTTGTACCTCTTCGTCTCCCCATTCGTCTCTGAGGCACCAGCTTTGCGCGTGGGTCTCAGTGAAGTAGGCAACAAACGCGGAGCACTGGGGAGCACCATGGAGCAGCTGTTGCACTTGGAAAAGTCATAAAGAACGTTCGACAAATCTCACGATAAACGGACAATGACGACACTTGTTGGCTTGTTTGCTCCGTACTGTCGTGATCTATGGAGCTCACATGATCGTGCTTACTAGTAAGCTTTGGTGTGCTTTCTGAGGAGTGCCACCTGGCGGCGAGCCTCTCAAGGGGCTCTGAAAGAGCAGGAAGGCTTGCTTGGCACTTCTCTTTGTTGCTATCAGATGATGGAACCAGGTTAGCACTTTCATTGAAACCTTGCAAGATAAAAGTTCCTTTTTGGAGACGTTCCTTTTTCTCTCCTCAAGGTGCATTTGGAGCGTGGAACTTGGCACTTCTGTCTTGCTGCCGAGGACTTCTTGTGCATTTCGTTGTTCCATTGCTGCTCAGGATTTGCAACATGGGTTGATAAACTTCCATTTGCAGGGCGCGCTGATGTGACGAGTGAGGCGCAAAAATGTACATGTTCTGGCGATCCGTGAGGTGCATTGGCAACGATGCGAAGCGTGGGCAAAGATCCTTCAGAGCTGTGACCTTAGCTGTGCATGATGCGAAGCGTGGGCGCTCTCACTGAGTGACTTAGTGCTTTGTCAAGATCCCGCCTCCAAATAATGTTTAAAGTTAAAGCTTGGGGTCTCTTGACAAAAGTGTTTGCTCAGGCTCATCGTTTGGCAGGAGCCAGAAGCTGGGGTCTATGGTGTGCGTTTTTTCAAGGCTCACAACATGACATGCTTTGTAAATCTTTGTAAGCACATGCAGAACTTGCATAAATTGTGCATTTGCTTTTCAGAATTTCATTTTTGACATTAGCTTGAAACAGGACGGTGAATGGATGTACGAGGTGGATCTTGCGACATTGCGGAAGGTTTGATGATTCAATTCCTATGAAGACTGTGATCCCTCACAAACACTATGGAGTTACAATTATCTAGCGGGGTTGAAGCGAGAGCGAAAAGACATGTGTGCCCTCCAACTGACATACCCGACTGAGCCGCAGCAGATCTTCCTTTTGAGCCATACCCATCTTTTGTTTGAGGAGCCACTGGAAGAAGGAGCTGTGCTCACAAGAATCAGGGTACCTTTTCGTGTTGGTTGCCATAAAGCCAGGTCCTTGATGACAGCCTTCCGGTGTCTCAGCCCCATCCTCAGCTTGATTGGTTGCCTGGCTGTGCCAGATTTGGAGGGAGACAAGCTCATTGGATCCCAGGCATGGACGGCCTCTTTTTAGTGGCGAGGCATTTGCCCAGACTATGTCACTTCCACTGTCAGTTCAAACCAACTTCATCATGTGCAACTGACACACGCGCTTGAGTCCTTGTTGCCCTTCTCATTCTTTGTGTCAGGTTTCTCTAGCTCTCCTTGAAAAGGGGTACGGGCCTGGATGGGCCTCAGGGGGGGTTCACCAGGCACCTTTCAAAAGCATCCAGTTTCTCGCAGGTACGCAAAGATTCATGGGTCCTACGAAGCCGCTGCTTGTCTGGAAGAAGATGCCTTCGAGGAGAAATGAGAGCAACCAGACCCCATCAAATTCTTTAGCGTTCCTTGGAGGACATCTTCGGAATTGCCGCCGGGGGGGATCTCTGTGAATGACTTCCCAGTGTGGGTGCGAAACTTTGGACTGTGCTTCATGCAAAGGGGGTGCTCACATGTGCTCACTATTCTTCAAACAAGATTCTTTGCTCGACCTTTTCTCGAGTCCTGTTCCTTTACACATGGTCTTTGTGAAGGCTGAGCTATGGCAGCACTTGAAGAGCAAGCTGGTTTCTCATTGCGTTCCCGAAAACGGACAGGGGAAAAAAACAAGCGCAAAAGCAACCGCGAAAGACCAAGGCAAAAGCGCCACTTTGCGCTTGCTGCCATCAGAAGGCGAGAGAAGTTATGTAGGTTTGGTGGCGAAGAGCATGTGACTTTGAGGCGAGAGCGAGCAGGGGAGGTGCCGGAACGGAACGGATCACATGGCCCAAGAGGTTTGGGCCAAATTTAGGTCTCAAACAGCAAAACGACTCAAAACGACTCTACAAGCGAAACTGAAATCAACCTTGGCCTCGCTTCATTTCCGCAGATCTAGGTGTATTTTCCAAAGGCAGACACAGCCATTTTGCTAAGAATACACTGTACTGCAAGACTTCAACACACCTTCAAGTCAAAGGCAGGACATTTGCAGCGCCTTGTTAAACCAAATTGATTTTTTGTCCAGCCAGAATGACACAGTCTCTTGCTTCTATCCGAAAAGGAGAGTGCACCCTTTGAAGCCATGGAGCGGGTGCGACCCATTCGAAGCCCACGAGGAACCGCGTCACCGTGCCGAAGACCGTTGACAGCAGAGGTGCTTGGGACAAAAACAGCAAAGGACCTGCAGAGATTGATGAGGACGCCGAGGGTGTTTCACCGGCAAAGTGACCTTCGTCACATGAAGAGAAATGAGCTCCGGGCGAATTTGCTGCCATGTATTCTTCAGACTCCTGATGCCACAGAGGGGGAAACAGAGGACGTGGAGAAGTTCAAGAAGCGCTCTGATTATAAACAGATTCTTGGGATCAAAAATGAAAGCGAAGCGCAGGACTTCGAGAAAACCACTATTGTCGGTTTTCCAGAGGAGTGGGATCCCGCCCATCAAGCTGTCAACGCCTGCAACTCCCTGAGGGACTTGGTCTCTGAAAAGGCAAGCAGATTTTGCCGACCCATTGATGGAATGGTGAATACTAGCAGCGGTCTTCCCTTCGTGCACAAGGTCCTTGTCCAAAAGAACGACATGTGTTTGCTTTTGCTGAATCCCAAACATGTTTGTTGACCCAAGCATTTTTGTACATTCTAGATTCTTGAGCTTTCTTTGAATCGGTCACTCCCCAGGATCAAGCTGTAGATTTGGAGGAGCTGATGAACGTTTTTACCATTGAGATCCAAAAGCAGCCCGAGCAAATCCACAAAGTCACCAGAGGATCTGCTACGAGTCGTTTGCAGCTTGCATCGCGTGTTCCGCTACTCGTCAAAGATCCTGCTACTGATCTTACGATGCAGACGCAGCCTTTGCCGAATGATGTGCACACACTGCGGTTGGACATGAATCCAAAGGAGGTGAGGCACATTACATGCGATATGAAGAGCCGCCACTTCAAAGGCACCCGGGTCAGGGCATCGAGTAAGAATTTTGTTAGTATCCAGACTTTGCGTTGCCATGTAATTATGAATACTGACAGGCTTCGCCAACCGGCGATGCCCTTGGGGGCACTGCGCGTATCCGCAGGGTCTTTGCACAACAAAATGGACGATTAGCACAGCTTCTGACGTCTGCGCATACACACTCCCACACAGGTGTGCGGACAAGGGTCTGATGGAAAAAGCCTGGCAACCTCAGCTTCAGACACGTACCCACATGCACACCCACACCCGCACCCTCACGCACACAAACGCACACGAACGCACAACACGCACAACACGCACACGCGCACACGCCCACACGCGCACACTCGCACACGCGCAAGCGCGCACACGCGCAGACGCACGCACACGAGAGCGCGCGCGGCGCGCGCGCGGGGCTTCTTTAAGTTTTAGTACTTTGCAGTCGAAAGCGCTGAAAAGGCTGCTTTTTCGAATATTTTGAGCACTTTCTAGCCTAAAGCTATCCGTGTTTAGGCTAGAAAATGCTCAAAAGCACTGATTTTCAGCGTTTTCCACTACTAAGTCCTGATGTTTGCACTATAGTCATTTTATGTCGCTGGTCTCCGGCCACCGCCGGCCACCGTCCACCGGCCACCGCCACTGGCCTACGGCGGCCAACGGCGGCCAATGCCGGCCACAGCAACCCGTCACCTGCCGACGGTCATTGGGCTTGCCCTTCTTTATGGCTGCAGCAGCCACGCCCTGCCTGCCATTGAGCCGCACCACCAACAGTCCGGCTACAGTATTAGTCCGCACTGCCAGCAGCCTTTGCAGCAGGCAAAGCCAGGCCAGTGCTCAAGGCTTGGCGCCTGTCTCGCTTTTGCCCGGCGTTTGTCAGGTGGCGACCTACTGGTGTGGCTTTGTAGCCTTTCGTCTACCACGGGACAAGCAGCGGCGCACTTGGAGGGAAGAGGTGGACTTGCCTGACCCGGATCATTTCTTCCCCATTTCTTCCTCAGTTACTGGCCAGACTTTAGTCAGGAATGAGGGAATGAGGGGCTCATGCAAGTTGATAAGTTCTGCCAGGGGGGTCAGGGCGGCACACGCATACACCCCCCCAAAAAAAGTATATATATATATATACTGTGTTAGACTGCTGAACAGCAATCTTGCTTTCTCCACGCTTACTAGACAGAAAAGCATCAGCTAGGTTAAATAGTGTGCGCGCGCATGTCTGACACCCAGTACTCCTTGGCCCTTTTGTGCCCACCATCTGTAGGTTCACTAGCCTAACTGCGCGCAGGCTTGAAAAGAGCACACTCTGGAAGAAAGGTCGCAAGTAAGCTACACCAAGCAGTGACCCACAACGGCCTGTCGCTTTTGAGAATCCTTCCCTTTTCCTTCCTGAGCCAGCGATAAATCACATCACAACAACCCCAGCTACCCTGGCCTTTGGCATTGGCTTTGCGGCAATCTTTGGTTTTGCGGCAAGCAGCCGCTTCTACCTATGTTGTTCGTTCTTCCTCTTTTGGAGCTCCTCCTCCTCCTCTTTTCCCAATCTCTCTTCAAGCTAGCGCCATGGGACCTATCCAAAAAGGAAAGCCCTAGGGACTCACCAGCCAGCAGCCAGAGAGCGAGAAAGAAAGAGAAGAACAAAGAAATAGAGAGAGAGAGAGAGAGAGCTACTTTCAACCTTTCAGTGTCGCGGCAATGGCCCCGAAGAGGCGCCAAGAGAAAACCCCGGAGGAGGAGATGTTCGGGCGTGCCTTCGAAAGAAAGGGGGAGATCGCTGGTGTGATGCAGGCATTGTTCGCCATAATAGAAAGGTTTCACCTCGAAAGAGGACCGCAGACGCAGCAAGAGCTGCGGCAAGCGATGGAAATCCAGCAGCGGCAGCAGCTGTGGATGGAGCAAATGCAACAGCCGCTGCTGGAGGGTTGAGAGACAGAGGATGCAGCAACAGCAACAGCTGCAAGAGGAAGAGGAGAGGAGACGGCGACAGGAGGAGTCAGAGAGACAGAAGCTTTTGGAGCAGCAAGAACGGCAGAAAGTCCAAGAGCAGGAGGAGCGGAAGTTGGAGGAAGAGAGACCCAAACTTCTCCGAGAACAAGAAGCGCAGAGGAAGCTGCAGGAAGAGCGCCTGAAGAAGGAGGAAGAGGACTTGAAAAAAGAGGAGCAGGAGTTGGCGAGAAAGAAGGAAGAGCGCAAGAAGTTGTTGGAGGAGCAGCGGAAGAAAGAGAAAGAGGACGAAGAGGCTCAACGGCTGTTCGAGGAGAACCTGCAAAAAGAAGAGCGAGATCTACAAGAGAGAAAAGAGCAGCGAAGGAAGCTGCAGGAAGAGAAGTGCACACGACAGCAAACGGACGAAGAAGAAAGGAAGCAACATGAAGAGAGTTTGAGAAATCAGGAGGAGGAGCTCCAAAAGAGGAAGAACGAACAACAGACAGAGGTTGAAGCGGCTGCTCGCCGCAAAACCAAAGATTGCGGCAAAGCCAATGCCAAAGGCCAGGGGAGCTGGGGTTGTCTTGATGTTAGCCTCAAAATGATCAGTGTGTTCAGCGTCGCCCAAATGCAAAAAACCCTGTGTTTGTTCTTATCTATTGCTGTCTCAGGAAGGAAAAGGGAAGGAATCTCAGAAGAGACAGGCTGCTGTGGGTCACTGCTTGGTGTAGCTTACTTGTGACCTTTCTTCCAAAGTGTGCTCTTTTCAGCCTGCGCGCGGTTAGGCTAGTGAACCTCCAGATGGTGGTCACGAAAGAGCCAAGGAGTGCTGTCAGTCAGACATGCGCGTGGACACTATTGACAACCTTGCTGATGCTTGTCTGTCTAGTACGCATGGGGAAAACAAGATTGCTGTTCAGCAGTTTAACGCAGCTGTTGCAGGCCAGCAGCAGCCACACCAGATTTATTATTAAATTAATTTTGCTCTTCATGCAAAGCACACATCAGCTTTACACTGTTTAGCTGCTGTTTGTGTCAGGACACTGCCTGAGACATATGGCGCTCCAGTGGAAAATAGTTGGTCTGTGACAAGATGAGCAGTGGACCGCGGTGTTGTTTTGGCATTTGCTCTGCTACTTCTTTGGAGCGCTTGCCGCCAAGCCACGTTCCCAAGGAAGTGCTCTGAAGTCGCCGTCACCAGCGTGGTCATGAGGATGCGGCGCATCTTTGCAAGGGTTGCTGACCAGCAACCTATAGAAGTTTGCTGTTCCAATTTGTTTTAAACCAAATGTTGATTGCAAGGGCTGCTGGTCAGCAGCCATTTAAGCATGTCCTACTCCACCCTTCTCTTCATACCAGAAATGCCAATTGCACGGGTTGGCAGCAATGCACGTGTTCTGGCCCACCATTCTTTTAAACAAGAATGTTTGAGTGCGCGGGCTCCTGGTCAGCGACCCTTTAAACCAATGAATACGTTCTATGTTTGGCGGTCAGCAACCCTTTAAACCAGTGAATATGTTCTGCCTTACCTATCTGGCTGCTGGTCAGCAACCCTTTGAACCAGTCCAGTTTCGTTTAATAACAAATGTTGATTCAATCCTTACTTTGTTTAGTTTTCCAAACACCAATTTCATACATGTGGTGCGGATTGCGTTTGTGTGTGTGTTTGCCAACCAAGTTGAGATGTTCTGCCAAGGTTTTTTGATCGAATAAAAGTTTGTTTGATTCTATTTGTATATATATATAATATATTATACCTGTTAAAGATAACTATTTTTGTGCCGCCCTGCCCCCTGGCATAAGCTACCAACTTTGGACTTGTGAGCCCCTCATTCCCTCATTCCTGACTAAAGTCTGGCCAGGTTAGCGGTGCAGCGGTGCACTTTTCTTCCTCCTTCGCCCTGTGCATCTTCTGATGTGAGGGCGCCTATGCCTTCCACGCCGCCCTGGCCGATAGCGCACGATGGCTGACTCGAAACCTTATAGCTGCAAAAAAGGAGAATGGGCCGCTGGCTAAGGGACCCTGGTCGACCGACCTTACCTGTACTGTATATGGCTTGCGCAGGGGCCGCGCGCGCGTACATGAGCCAAGCGTGTTTTTGTTGGCTTCTGCTTGCGCCTGAGTTTGAAGTCCCGCACTTTCTCTATCACCGGGGGTCGGGGTATGAATCAGGTGGCCGCCACCAGTTCCATCCATCACGCCGGGAAAGAAGCTATGTGAAATCACACATGAATTTCGCTCTCGCCAGTGCTGGCGACAAGATAACCCGCTGCGTTTGCCCGTTCTCTGCGCAAGAGACCCCCAGCTAGTTCCATCCACGCTGGACAGATCAACCGTCGTCCTGTCTTCGGCAAGCAGTTCCGTGTCTTTAAGGGCGTCGTGTGTGGGCGCGGTTGTGTTGAGGACTGGTCGAATTCAGATCCAACACACACTTAGATCAACGCTCGCAAGAGCTGTATCAGTAGTGAAATCCCGGTTTACTGCAAGTAGACAGTAGACCTTTACATTCAATTAGACCTTGACTTGAAGCAACCGACAGAAATGCTAGGTCAGCTCAGCAGAAGGTTTCAACCAGGATGCATTAGCGGTTTACCGGCGAATTCAAAATATAAGGGTGGCCATCAGCTGCATCTTACAAATCGCCCAGATGCACCATAGCAGGTACGTTTGCGCGTCCATACTTTCACGGTCCTCGTTGGCGTAAGAGTGGTGAATGAAAAGATTCTTGGGAAAGACATCGAGGTGCGGTCTAAATCTTTAAAAACAGGAGTTGACGCGCGCAAAAAGGCGGATCGCCGCAACCTCTTTTTTTCTTGCGGGAGGGATGGGAAAAGGGTGTGGGTGTGCGTTGGCTAAACGAGCCTAGAAGCCAACCTAACAAGCCTGAAGGAAAGAACAAGCCAACGAAAAAGGCAAGGAAAGAAAAGAAAGGGTGCAGGGGTGCGAGGGGTTTTGGGCGTGCGTTGACTAAACGAACCTGAACGCCGACCTAACAAGCCTGAAGGAAAGACCAAGCAAACGAAAAAGGCAAGGAAAGAAAGGGCGCAGGGGTGTGGTAGAATGCCGAAAACGGCGCTCCCTTGACCAAAAAGCATCGGTTGCGCCTAAAAAGCCTTTAGCAAAGAAGAAAGACCAAGAAAACGAAGAGTTCAGTAAGCTCTGCAGCTTTCAATCAGCGTTCTCGAGCAAACAGCTGAATCACTGATGGTCGTGCAAGAACGAGAAATCAGTCAAGGATCCCCCTTAAGGGTCTATGCTCAATGCGCCCCTCGGCGGGTATCACGCAACAGACCTCAGTGGGGCCCTGTTGCGAGACACACTTAGATCAATGCTCGCAAGAGCTGTATGCGGTTTACTGCAAGTAGACCTTGACACTCAATTAGACCTTGACTTGAATCAACCGCAAGAAATGCTGGGTCGGCTCAACAGAAGGTTTCAACCAGGATGCGTTAGCGGTTTACCGGTGAATTCTAAATAGAAGGGTGGCCACCAGCTGCGTCTTACAAAGCGCCCAGATGCACCATAGCAGGTAGGTTTGCGCCGCGCGTCCGTACTTTTGACGTGAAAGTGGACCCAGAGCCCACTGCAGAGCCTGGACCGTGTAAGGTGCCTGCCATGCAGCTCCACATTTTGGCCACAAGTCTATCCGTGCGACCGATGAATCTACACCATAGACCCTGCTCACTGCTGACGGCAGAAAAATAATCCTTCTCCAAATTAGCAATCCCTTCTCGAGACAACTAGAGCCATTCGCTAGAAGCATAGAACCCGTCTCTGTTATAGTGCCACGAAGCCAGAACCCAGTCTGTCACTGCCAAACGTTGCTTTCTGACGGCAGTAAAAAATAATTCTCAAAGGCATCCGAACGCTCACGGCAATTAGCTGGAGCCACAGACCCATTCCCAAGGCTCACAGCAATCTGCTTCGCCCCGGCTGTCCACAGTCTAATTCTACACAAAAAATGATCACGAAAATGACCGAAACATCGTCCTTGAAACTGTTCTGTCCGTGCCAAACGTTGCTTTCTGACGGCAGTAAAATCATTTTCTAAATAGAGCCATATATACAGGGCCATTCCCCACGCTTACCGCAATCTCCGTAGCTTCCCAAGGCTCACGGCAATCTGCTTCGCCACAGCTTTCCACAATCCTTTTCTACACCGAAAATCACAAGAATCGTCCTCGAAGCTGCTCTGTCCGTGCCAAACGTTGTTTTCTGACGGCAATAGAAATCATTTTCTAAAGCCATATGCAGCCGTGTCTCTAGGGCCATTCCCCGGGCTTACGGCAATCTCCGTAGCCCCATTCCCAAGGCTAATGACAATCTGCTTTGCCACTGATTTCCACAATCTAATTCACAATGAAAGCAACAACCAAAAAAGTCCTCCAAACTGTTCTGTCCGTGCCAAACGTTGCTGTATAAAAATCAGTCTCTGAAGCCATATGCAGCCGTGTCTGTAAGGCCATTCCCGAAGCTTACGGCAATTTCCGTAGCCCCATTGCCAAGGTTCAAGGCAATCTGTTTCGGCGCAGGTTTCCACAATCTAATTCCACACCGAAAATGACCAAAAAATCGTCGAAGCTGCTCTCCGTGCTAAACGTTGCTTTCTGACGGCAGTAAACGTCATTCTCTGAAGCCATATATAGCCATGTTACATGTTTCTCTGGCCATAGGGCCATTCGCCAGGCTTACGACAATCTCCGTAGCCACGGACCCATAACACGAGCAGTGTCCTCTTGCTCTCCCCCTCCATCGGATGGGGTCGGCGGATATACGCATTTATACAGATGATATATTGTGTTTTAGTGAATTTTGGAGCTGACCCGAACGCCCTTTGTTGCTCAAATGTTGAGGCAGTGAACTAGAAGGGCGGTTGATGTCCGTCGTCCACCCAGAGCGGGGTGTTTTGGCGAAGATGTTGAGCGCTCTGCAGCAGAAGGAGCGCGAGGCCCAAGGACTCACTGCTGTTTTGAATCATTTGCTGCGAGAGGCCAGGCCAAGACGGACAAAACCTCTGAGGACACAGATGTTTTCTGTTTTCTTGGGGATAGGGATCTTGGCTAAGTAATACAGTGCAAGTGGTAAGAAGATGTGAGAAGATGTAAGAAGTAAACTACTCAGCAACAGGAAACCACAACATGCCGTTCTTATGATGTAAAAAACTGCAAAAAAAGTTTAGACAAGACAACATATTTTACCGTTTGTTTGGCTGTCGAATTTTGTTTGGTTTGCCCACTTCCCATGACTTGAAGTTTTGTTTTCCTCTTTCAGGTGTCCAAGCCCTTGCGCCCGCAGAATATCTCTTCAGCGGAACGGCTTGACGCTTTGCTCAGTGAGCCTCGTCGCACGCTGGCCCAACTACTCTCAGTTTCAGATCGCTTGGCAGAAGTTGTCGTTGTCTCAGTTCTTCAACACGGATAAGTTTCCGTCCCAAGTCTTTTATAAAAACCCTGAATTTCTGAAGAACCATAACCTTCAGTCTGCCCTAAGCGCAGTGGCAAGGTGCAGCCTTTGGTGGCTTCTGTGGCGCACGCGATCGATCGAATGGCTTTGATTTGTGTCCGCGAGGCTCATACTGTAGGTGGTGGTTTGCATCCAGCCAGCCAGCTATCTATACAATCCAAGCTGCAACCTTTGTATTGCAGAAAAGTGGAGAAGTTCTGCGGAGGTCTCCACGTCATGAAAACTCTTTATTTTGAGTAATTTTGAGATTAGTTTGAGATCACAGGTCGACCGTTTGGCCAGCTACTGCGATACAGAGTTCGACAAACTTCTCAAGGCTTGTCTCAAATGATCAATCTTGGAAGCTTGAGTCATGTGCCACAAGAAGTCATCTTATATAGTCTGTTGGACCCAGCCATTGGTGTATCGCGTGTTCCATTGCTTTTTGCCACCTGCACGAGTCGAATCTACGTTTTCTGTTGGGACCCCAAATGATGATAGTACTGGTTTTTGGTTGGACGCGCCGTCCTTTGCTTTGCACTCACCTTTTTGGTTTTAAATGGTTCGAGTCTCCGGGCACTCGACAATGGGCGCTTTGATCTTTGGCTCTTGCTGACCACTCCACTGCTTCGCAAAGCCCAGTTTTGCCAAACAATGACCAATTGCCATTAATTGTCCTTGGGACAATTGCGTAGCACTTTTCTTTCAACGCAATTTGTTTTTGGCATTGGGTTTTGCCTTAGCCTCTCACACTCATTGGATGTGCAGCATCCGCAGGCACTGAACACTAGTGAAGAAGCTGGATGACCTGGTGAAGCGACAACCCACACTTCGAACAGTTATTTAAATGTGCTTGTGCTTTTTTTGAAGTGCTTGTGCTTTGACTTTGGTCTTTGCTTGCTTTGATTTGGGTCTTGAGGCCAGAATAGAAGCAGAAGACCGCATAGACAAGATGGGCGGAACACACCTCAGTCCCGGTGTTCATCAATCACATTTTTGTGCTCCGCCAACTCCAGATGTCCAAACTTGCGGAGCTTTGTGTCGTCATTTTTGCAGGTCGTACAGTCGGCAATGATTTTCAAAGCAGATTGAAGAACATGGAGGCGCTGCTAAGCATTTCCGCAACCAACTTTGCAGCTGAACTCACTCGACTGTGTTTGCCATCCCCAACCGAAATCACGAGACATATGTTAGGGGTGTGAGTGGTACAATATGCCCGTATTTGCCAGAACGAGCTTCAACAACACGCACGGACTCATGCGAAGCTCATCGAGGAGAAGAATGACCTTGAGGCCACACATTCACATTGGGCGCTTGAAAAAATACACAGAATGCATTTGTTTGTGTTTTGCAACTTCACCCGAAGGCCATATTGCAAGATGATGCTCGAGTTGCTGCAACTCGGCATTGCTCCATGGGATGATGGTGCTTTGATTTTCTTTGATTTGTTTTGTTGCTTTTTGGTGGATCTTGTTCTGCCAAGCCTTCAGTGCTGTTCCAGTTTGAGCACCAGGCGGCCTTGAGAGTCAAAGTGAAAGAATTGGAACAGGAGAGCTCACGAAGTGCCGTCGTAGTAGCAATTGCTGCAGCACTTGCGATAGCAGCGGACATAAGTGTCCAGAATGCCAGGAAGTGAAGTACCTTCGTCGAAACACTACTTGGCGCGCAAGGTTGGCTGACAAGAGACTCTAGGAACAAGGACGCTACCAGTAGCTCGTGGCCTTACTACTCGGGACAAGGACGCTACTAGAAGCTAGAAGCTACTTGTGAACACTAGCTGCTAGCTGTGTTTTAACGGCGATTCATGGCACCTTTCTGCATTTCTCGAGGAAGAGTGATACAGCAAGCTCTGTGCCACAAACCCCTTCGCGAGCTGCTAGTGCAACTTTGTGGCACTGTCGCTATGAGTTGCAAACAGAAAGTGGACTAGAGAAGTCCTCAAAAAAGTGACAAAACAAGAAGGTCTCTTTTTTGGACTCCTGGATTGGATGCCCTGGCGGTGCTAAGGTCAAACCAGATGCAGACGTTCTAGCATTGGACATAGACGAAACTGAGGCGAGAGCAACAGCAACACCTCATGGTCCCGTAGCTGACAAATAAGCGCAACTTTAGACATGCATGCTTTGCTTTAGTGTCAACTTTTGCATTTTTCCAACCTAATCATTCTGAGCTGCTGGATTACAAGCTTCAAAACACTGTGCTGCAGTTGCTAGCCCACAGGGTGGACAATCCTCGTCCTCTTCAGCCTTCCAGGCCCACATGGGCTACACGCACCACCGCTGTCACTGTGTGTATATATATATACATACATACAGTGTGCGTTACACTGAAATCAAACATGCAGCCCGCAAATTACTGTATCAGAAAGAGTCATCATTCCAGACGTTGCACTTTTGCAGCTTCATGGTCCAAAAACGTGGCCCCAAATCTGGCAGGGCAGTAGCTTTTGGAAGAAGGGACGGCCACGTTTTGGTGCCAAAAGTTTGAGTAAAGAGTCGGTCTTTCCGTGAGTGCTGGCATAAAACTTTGCAACGCACTGCTTGGAAAAAGAAAAGTTGCACATCACTAGCACAGTCCCTTCTCTCACCCGGCGGCGCTTAGGATACCTGCAAGGCCTGCGCGGACCCTCCACGCTGAAACTTCTTTTCGCAGGGGCTTACAGCCTTTTTTGGCGCAGCAGAGTCGCTTACTTGGTGCAGTCCGATCCAAGCTGCTGCTGTACTGCAGCAGGCACTCGCACAGATACGGGGACCACTGGTGGTGTCACTTTTGAGCATCATGTACTGTAAGGGACCGCAATGCGGAGGCCTGAGTGTGTGGTGTAGTGATGACTTTTGACCTTCAAAGCCTGTGACCGCTGTGCACAGAGACACCAGCTCCCAAACAACTTGCCTGGATAGACAGAAAGCGGCGGCAGACGATGTGCATCCGTGATATTCATTTTGGAGTTTTCTTTTTCCAAATGCCGGAAATCCAGCCGTGCTGTCTTTCGTGAGATGCGGCGTCCGTGCTAGCTCGTTAGTTCCACTGTCGCATCCGTGCGAAGTAGCCGATAGGTTTGCGCTGACACTGCCCCGTGAGTACCACAGCTGTCAGGGCCACACGTCGGGCGACGCCTGCAAATACCTACTAACTGGGACCAGCGCGTTGCCTGTAAATACAAACTGGGACCACGTGCTCGTCCATCCCACAGATGCAAGCTTCACTTGCGAGTCTGGCCAAAGCCAAAGGAAAGGGCAAAAGTGGCTCAAAAGGTGGTAAAGGAAATGGAAAGAGTCAAGATGGAGGCAAGGGAAACGACAAAGGCAAACAGAAGGGAAAAGGTTCGAGTTGGTCCAATCCCTCACCATGGAACACCTCATGGAATACGAATGATTGGTACAAGAATGATTGGAACAAGAGTAGTTGGTACAACCAAAATTCCAAAAGGGTAAAGGCAAAGGTGGCAAAGGCAAAGATTCTAAAGGTAAAGGTAAGAGTAAGAGTCAGAAGGTAGCATTAGTTGAAGAATCGGAAACCTCTATGGCTGAAGAGCATCAACCCGAGCCTGAGTACTCCGCTGACATCGCAACCCTCTTTGCCCTCGAGATGGAGAAAGCAGCGCCTGCCGCAATCTCTCGTGGAGCAGCCAAGGCAAAAGCCCAGACTGAAGCCAAGGCAACGCTAAAGAAGCCAGGAGCTGGAAAAGGGCGACCTGGAATTGCAGCTGTTGGGATGTTGGGATTGCAGTCATGAACCAAGCAATCCAAGAGACCCTGCAGTCCAATCGTGAGCTGTATGAGAAGAAGTCCGAGACGGTTCAAAAGGCCATTGAAGAGGCCGAGGCTCAAGGCAAAGCTGCCAATGAAGCCATCTTGGAGCAACAGGCGGAGATGAGGAAGCTGAAAGAGCAGTATGAGGAGACAGAACAGGAGGCCAACCCGAACTTCAGAATCGGTTCGACCTCCTCGTCCGACCAGGCCGTGTCCAAGGCCTTCTCGTGAAACCGCTGAGTCACTCGCGGACACGGAACAGCCAGCACGCACGGTCCATCTTGCCGATAGCTCCGAGCAGGCAGATGACCCCATGGGTGGACCCGCCGGCGAGGCAGAGGTTGAACCCAGCCCGGAAGCAGAGGTTGATCCTGGATATCCAGAGGGAGCGGAGGAGGAAGGCACAGTTCAACCGGACGACCAGGGTGGAACCGCGCTTGCGCGGGAGGAGGAGCAAGCTTTCGAGCCTGATCCGGTGGTTGAAGGCGAGGATTTGGAGACGGTTCGCACTCGTGCAGCCGATACCGTTATTCGAGTCGTGAGGTCTGGTCGATTTAGGCGAGCACTTGCAACTGCGACTCCCCCTAATCCTCCACCTCTAGACCCCGACTATCTTAACACTCCTCATAGGCCTCAAGTTTACCACCACATGTTAAACTTCGTAGGCCGCCCCCGCCAAAAGCGAGCGCTCGAAGCTTGCCAATGCCTGCACAGGTCCCCAAAGCCGAAGCTCCTCAACCGGAGTCCAATCGACCCCAAGGGACACAGCAACCGCGTCAGCGCGGATTTGTCAGGTTCCAACATGCTGCGCGCGATCCACCCGCGCAGCCAATCCCAATAGAAACGGCCCGCGACAGTGTATACGACCTCCCTGACCATGTGTGGAGGACCCGTCCCACTAGAGAACCGGGCGGTCTCACGGTGCCACAAGCTGAGTTGCTGGTTCATCCCAACACAGAAGTGCATGCCATGGACGTCGATGACGACGAGAGTCCACCACGCCCAGCAGCAAGGCCCCAGGCTACTGCTCCATGGCGGACGCCAACTCACGCCATCGAAGCTGAGGAGGCCCCGGAAGTCCCGGCTCCAAAGCCGCGAGCCCCGGCTAATCCCCCGCCTCCGAAGCGCACTCGTGTCGTGTTCTCATCAACCTCGCGAGTTGTGCTGAGGCCAGGTCCTGGTGCAACGCATGAAACCGCGCCTAGCGCGGAGCCGTCGTTCGCGGAGCACACAAGGGGCACTGTCCCTCTCGTAGCCCGAAGAGTAGTAGCCGAATATAATTCTGGTGAACCTCCGGCCGAGTCTCCATCAAGAACTTCGGTAACTGTGACACCACTAATAGACCCAGCTCATCGTACCCCTAATCGTAATTGGGCCGACCAATCGCTCGATGACGAGCCGGATGATGAGCCAACGGATCCAGGTACAACACCGTCCGGATCCGCCAGATCGAGGACATCGCCCCCGAAGCCCATGGTCGTTAAACCTCCACCACAGTGTATCCGAGAAGACCCTTCTCAACGGAGACAGACTTATGTCGAATCGGGGCGGGTAGAGGAGTTTTTGCCTTTCGGATTCTTCACTACCCCACCACCGGCCAGGGCCGCCAAAGCCCCCGCCACCGCCGCCTGCGGCCCAACCACCAAAGCCTAAGCCGATGCCCGAACGACCGCCGCGTTCGTCGAGCCCCGCTCCAGCCACGGTCGTTCAGGAAGCAACTGGCAGAGGCAGAGGTCAAGGGTATCCGACACCTCCTGCACCCTCTGAAACCGCGCCTCGCGCGGAAGAGGACGATGCGGAGGCAGCATCAAGTGGCGGTCGTTTAGCGCCCCCAAACCGTGGTGAACCACCTCGACCTGATTTGCCATCGGACGATGATGCGCCGCCGCCGCGCGATCGCTATCTAGAACTTTGGCAGAATACCCAGCACATCTTCGGACAGCAGATGTGCCATCAGATGACACTAACACCACCCCATCAAGCCCATAACGTTGAGGTGGGTCTAGATTTCCATAAGGTTCTAGATGCAATGTTAGTGCCTCGTCTTGAAGTCCCCACACGACAGTGTCTTGATGCCCTCATCACCCTTGAACGCGTAGGCGCAAGGATAACCATCATACCCTTTACAGGACATGAAGGCTATGTGAGAGCCGCATCACAGACGGCGCACTTCCGTGACTGCGCTCGCGCAGCGGGACTTCAAATGGGAGGAGGGATTTTCCTAACCAACTCCCGAGTCGGACCCGAGGGCAAGACTCCGATCATCACTCGATTGGGGATCTGCGCGTACGTCGACGACGACTCCTCGATCATTAATGAAGTCCGACGCGCAGGCTGCTATGCGTATTTGTGTGACGCTACACAACTCAGGCAGCCGCACTCAGTTTTGTTAGATCTAGCTAACATGATCCGCTCTTCCGGCATCCACAACTGGAAGCTTGCGCATCACCCTCGACCTTTGGCATCAGACGAATTTTCAGGCGAACCCAATCCACACGGAGGAGGTCGCCGGAGGCCAAGGGTCAGGTAACCGTCCTGCAAGCCAGAAACCGCTGCTTTGCGCGGTCACTTTTCGTTCGTAGGACCATTAGCTAGATTGAGCGCAGTGAAACTTCAATCTCAATATCTTCAAGTCACTTTAGTTGAACATTAGGTCATGCATACAATTTTCTTTCAGTGCACTCGTTCAGTCACCACGCAACAGCTGCCACAGTGCGCTGGAGTGGTCAGGACTCTTCGTGTAGCGAGAAAATAACTGCACCTGCAGTTGGGTGGGAACCATGGCGAACCATACAGGGTTTTCCCCGCCTGATGATCCCCCCAGGTGAACGGTCTAGGTCCTCCCCTGAAGAGGTTCCTTCTAGGCGTGGTAGAGGCACTTCGTCAACCGCCACCACACATGCCATGTCCGTTGTCACTCGCCTGAGGGGTTCGTCGCTCGCCACCGGTCACGCGTCCCAGGACTACGACCACAATGACCTTCCACTCCAGCTTTTGCTGAAGAGGCCAACTCCTCGCCGCGCCGCTTCGGTGCCGGCGGAGTCGCCAAGGCTCTCAGCTGATCTGGCGTCAGGCATGGACCCAAGATTGGCCAAGAAGAAGGAGAAAAGCCAGTGCGCCGAGCAGCATCGAATTGCTACGGCCCGCGCGACTATGAGTCCAAGTATCCAGAAGAATTGGACTACTACGAGATCGCCCGCGCCAAGGGCGCCGGCAAGCTCCAGGCATGGGACGATGATGACGAGGAGAAAGAGTTTGAACCTCGAGGACGCGAACGCGCACCACGACATCGAGGTAAGAAGCCATCCAAGCCCAAGGCCGACAAGGCCGAGCAGTCCAAGGAAAAGGAGCCCAAGATTGAAGATCTCTCCGCCAAGGAGCTGGCAGAGATGAAGCGGGAAAGCCAAACATGGACGGCTACAAGCCATCCAGCCCGCAATGTCATCGACAAGGCGCTCACTGCAGCTGGGTTCAACCCAGAAGAGTATGTTGTGATGAGGC